TTATTTGCTTCCAGCATTTACCGAATGCCAGGTATTGGGCTAAATTCTAGGAATATAGTAGTCAAGGCAAACAAGGTCCCTACATTTATGGAGCTCCTGGAGACAGATAGATATTAAACATCTCAGTACTATATTCAGACTCTGATAAATAGTATGGTTTTTTTTTTAATAAGACAGGACAATATGATAAAGAGTAACTTGAAGAAGACAGGGAGAATATCAGAGTATTTAAGAAAGGCTTCTCTAAAAAATTAATCTGAGACTTGAATGACAAAACAGAACCAGTCATCCAACCTTGGGCAGGAACAAACATGGTATTTGGGAGAGATAGAGGCAAGGCCAATGGAGCTGTACGCAAACCAGGGTAGCAGGGCCCAGATCACGGACTCTGTAGGCCATAGAAAGAGTCTGGAACTTATTGTAATGGGGAGCCATTAGAGGACTTTAAGTGCCAGAGTCACTTAATTAGATTTGCTTGAGGGGAAGATATAGGCATAATGATGATGTATTTGTGAAATAAAAAAAAAAAAATCTGCCCTCATTAGATTGAAGAATAGCTACTAGAGGATCATGTAAAATAAAGTTATGACAGTGTGGTCCAGAAATGGTTTTAGAATTGATGTGATAAAAAAAAAAAGAAAATATCATTAAAGGTTGTGATATGAGGTCACATTTAAGTGAGTGATAGGCATTAGACTGTAGCCTTTTTATCTTTTCAAAGCAGATAAAAGAGGTAAGAAACAGAATTAGTCCTCCTGGAACAGATGACTTCCTCCAGGAGTTTAGTGTTTAGACAGAAAGGGCCTGCATGGTGCAGGGTGAGGCATGCAGAAGACACTCAGTACATTATAGTTCTTTCTCTTCTTTCCTCCTTTCCCCTTTGGACCAGAAGCCACCAGTCCAAATGGAATTCATAAAGGATGGATGAAGAGTTGCCAGAGACAAACTATAGGAAACAACCCTCTTCTAGATAAAATGCACTGAAGGGGTTGACTAAACTTTTGAGGATTCCCATATCTCATGCTCCGTTCTGGTTGTAATGCCAATGAAAGGTTTCTCCACCAGAGGTTTACAGACTTCATTGTTTAAGTAAAAGAACCTGCCAAATAAGAATAACTCCAAATTCAAAGTTGCTGACTCAAATGAGAATTTCAATGAACATTACAATCATTGTTTTCTGGCATGGGAGGGGAGCAGAACAATATGAAATAAAACAGCATCTTATTAGAACTGTAATTAATCACTCTCTCTTTTATCTCATGTTATATCTTGTAACATCTGCTTCCTTTTTGGTCTCTGGGAACAAATATGCTACTACTGATGTAGAGGAGGTCATCGGAAGGGAAGAAGAAAAACAGAGTGGATTAAAGGCAAAATTTCCTTTCTTTTTTTAAAAAAAAATTAATTTATTTTGAGAGAGAGAGAGAGAGAGAGAGAGAGAGAGAGAGAGAGAGAGAGAGATCTGTTGCTCCACTTATTTATGCATTTATTGGTTGATTCTTGTGCCCTGACCAGGATCAAATCCACACCAGGGATGAGGCTCTAACCAACGGCGCCACCCAGCCAGGCCCAAAGGCAAGATTTTCAAATAAGCTTGTGATAGTGTAAAAGTCTAGTATTTGACCAAATCATCTAAAACTCAATTCCATTTACAACTGAAGTTAAGCTGGAACCCTCCTGCTCTACATCTTTATCTGCATCTCAGCAGCCCCAGCCTGCAGCTTGACTGCCTGGCCAGCCCGCCAGCCCCAGTCAGCTGTGCAGAGGCGACAGGCAGGAACTGCTGGGAGGCACTGGGGCTAGGCGGCTGAGGCACAAAGGCCACAGATTTCTCTATTCCAACCCAGAAAAGAATTGAGATAGACCTTATCACTCCCTACGGACACATGTTCTCTGGAGTTCTTCCAGACTTTTCAGAGATGTAAATCTGAATATTCACCTCAGGGTCTCCCCTCATCATGGACAAAGAGCTCTCCTTAGGGTCTGGAAAGGTCTGACAGTGTTAATGGGGGAATGGCACCCAGTCTCTTTAGTCTGAGGCCTGTCCTTCCCGCATACCGGTGGCCCACATCTGAAAACTTTCCTATCCCATAAGTAGGTGGAATAAAAGAGAGAGAAATGGTACACATGAGACAGTTATAAAATCATCTGCTTTTGGAAGTTAAAATGCCACAGCGGAAGTATAAAAATCCCGCTGATGCAAAGCTCCCAAAGGCCCACCTGTCCGGCCTTGTTCACTCTGGAAAGCAGAAGAAAGCCGGGCCATGACCTGAGGGGTTGTGTTCAGTGTAGAGAGTGACAACAAAGGCAAGGGGGGCCCTTTGCACTGTCCTGGGCCAGTCAGAGGTGCCAAGAGGAAGTTTCTGGAGAGATTTTTGGACAAAGGCTATCAGCTAGACCAAGCAGCTCAATCATGGCCCAGGTCAGGGAAGGCACTCACATCCCTTCCCAGCACAACCAGACATGCCAGCCTGCAGTTTCCCACACAAGGGCCATGATGATGTGACAGGTCATGGGTAATACAAATGGCTCTTTAAGTAAGTGGAGTTATTCTACAACTAATACATATGATGAAATCGGAAATAATTTCCTCGGTATTTTCTGTAAGAAAATAATGTACTAGGCAATTATAATGAATGCACACAAGTAAGTTATATGAAGGGCAGGGTATTCCCTGTCATTTTCACTTAACTGCAATTCTATCTATTCTATCTCTATCTATCTATCTATCTATCTATCTATCTATCTATCTAGTCATTCCAATCAGAGTTTGACCAAAAGCATATTAGAGCAGTTATTGTGCTATATCTTAACAATCTTAAGATTCCACTGGTGTGTTTCTATTAAGTGATAAAATGTTGTGATAGGCAATCTAGATAGGTTTTTCCCCTGCTGGATGCAACAGAATGTATAACATGCTAATGTGCTTTGTGAATTCCCAGGAGAAAAATAAAGTATACAGCAGCTTCAAACTGTTTTGATCTCAGAATCGCAGCACAGGAGATTTTGTTGGACCAGAGAGCTGTGTAGCACTATTTTGGAAATGCTGCTCTAGTGAATTCTATACTGCTCTACAGCATATGAGAACTATGTGCAGCCCCTGAGAAGCTAAGAATATAAACCATGTGAAATATGAGCATATGGAATTGAAAAAAATATACCAGGTTACTGATCTACCAGGGTATATACATTAAGGAGTTAATTAACTAATCAATAGACAATGCCTAGAAAAGTTATTCATGTTAATCAATGAAGATGCACTAAAATCAATTTAAAACACTTGGCCAAGCAAAACAAGGTCTTTAGCTTCAATATAAATCCCTTGCTTTCCCCAAAGGAAACGAGCTTAAGTCAAAGCCCTGTGGCAAGTGAGCGCACGCTCAGGACTAAAGCACCCTGCCAAAAATAATTCATACTAGCACTTTACTGTGGAAATAAAATATAAAACTTCCCACAGCCAAGAGTTCCATTAGAAAATGAAAAAATCAGCCTCGGCACAAATACAAACGCTCGCCCTTTATGCTCCCAGCCAACTTTCCGGCTCTGGGTTCCTTTGGTGCTGTGCCCACTGCAGTACTGAGGAGCTGGGAAGGGCGTCTAACACAGGCCACCTGAGCCAACAAGGCTTCCGTGACTTGCAGAGCACAGGACCTGGGAGCCGGCACTTCCTGGTATGAACAGGGTGTTCAAATTGGGGATGTGGGGGGCAGAGTCAAGCCCTAAGCAAAACAGCACTGATTACCCAGACTGGTGGGAATCCGTGCTCTGTGCTCCAGGGAGCCAGTCTCTGTGCCCACCTTTTCCAGAGGAAAAAGCAGTGCCAGAGGGAAAGGTGCTGGAAATCAGAGCTGCGCAGATGCAAGTCGTGCCTGTTGCGTCACTGGTGTACTGCTCTGGGGAAAGGATTGATGGGAGAGGATGAAAGTGGTGAAGAAATGAGCAGGGCAATGAGCTGTGGCCTTCAAGCCTTCCGCAACCTTCCATGGCCCCAGATAATCATGAGATAAATGACCTCTGTGGAATGTTTTGCAGATGACAGAAGAAGGAACCACGATGCTAGATAAAGGTGTTTTGAAGCAGAAAGCCAATGCACTCAACATCCCCTTATAGCATATTTTGGTATAAATAAAAAGCAATTTGTGTATGTGTGTGTATATACATATGTGTGTATATATGTATATGCATATGTATATATGTACATGTATATATATGTATGTACATATATATGCATACATACAAGAAGTCTGGAAGCATATAAATCAAAATGTTAAAGTGCTACACTTTACTGCATGTCAATTATACTTCAATAAAGTTGTTTAAAATTTAACAGTGGTTGTCTCTGAGGAAAGATTATAGGCAATTATAATTTTTTCCTGCTTTTCTGAATTTTCCAAATTTTCTTGATGATGTATGGACTACTTTTGTACTAAAAACATGTAAAAATTATTTTCAAAAAATCTTATATAATTCGTTCGATTTTTTTAATGTTTGTGTAGTTCTTTGTGCTTCATCTAGAGTTTCTACATATTTAATCCCTAAAACTGCAGAAAGAATCTGGTCATCATTCCAGACAGGAAGGACTAGCTCTGCGATGTTATGGAATGTATTCCAAGTCAACGAGCTAACAACCAGCAGAACCAAAATGTCAACCCAGCTCTCTTCCTACAGGAACAGACTTCGTATAAGACAGAAGTAGCAGAGTTATTAGATAAGATTTATGCAAAAAGAAACATTTTTTCAAGCTCGGTGTTGGTTAAGGGAAGAAATGTGAAAAACCAAGGAAGGTTTGGAGCCCCAGGAGGCACAGTGAGAGGGACAGGACAACTTTTCCTCCTCTTTGCTACATCATACCCTTTGGGCTTCATTTCAACCCCATTCAGAAAGGGAAAGGGAAACTTGAAAAAAATGGGACCAAACACTTAGGGTGACAAAGTACATACAGATGGCACCAACAATGAAATAAAGCGAGAGGTATTCAGACACCACTCTCTCGGAGGTACCTTCATTCCCGCTGCAGCCGCAGGGCCACTGGGGTCCACGGCCTGGATGTGGCATGGCTTGCTTCCTCGCACCACAAAGCCCCAGCCAACAGCGTCACCAACAATCTAGAGAGGAAAACCACAGTGAGCAATCATCAGACAGCCCCTGGCAATTCTCCCGACCTTGAGAGAGAGAAAGAGAGAGAGAGAGAGAGAGCCAGCCCAGGATGAAGTGCGGGCAGTGGCAGATCTCTTCTGTCTCATCTCTACCCTGTCAGGAGTAAAAGGAACACTCTGCTTCTGTTATAACACAGGCATATCGATGCAGAAACTGTGGTCGGGAAACACTTGTTTGGCAGAAAACAGCTTCTCTGAAGGCACTGATCAATAAGTACCGGGCAGGTTGCCTCTCTCTCAGGTTGCTATACAATTTCAGCAGATAGGAAGGTTAGAGGGTCTTAAACACATGCTTGAATCTTCTCTCCAGATCCAATTTTGACTGTCTTTGCTCTTTCCCCCTAAATTCAAATGATACTTTCTTGATGATCTGCTATGTCATTATAGTCTAAAATAATAATTTAAATTACTAATGGTAAGAAACAGGAAGAATCTTGGCTTTCCAGAAACACAATTTTCTACCAACAAAAGAAAGTGATAAAGTACACAAAGCTCACAATTTACAAGTAGATGCTGGTCTAAAAGTTGTTTGAAGCCAGAGGGTGCCTTTTCCTATAGAATCATTGTTAGAAATGGCAGTTACGTCCCTGGGTGGCTCCCAGTCATGTCTTCGACTAAAGTACAGATGAAACACATTAATCAATTCCTAGCAAGGCTGGCACTGAAATTTAAAACCACCGGGGACAGGGACAGGTTGGAGGGGGTTAATGGGGGCGTGGGGAGGGGGGTGGGCGCCGGGGAGGGGTGGGATGATATGTAATACTTTCAACAATAAAGATTTTAAAAAATAATAATTTAAAAAATCAGGAATAAGACCAAAAAAATAAAAATAAAGCCAAAAATAAATACTTTAATACTTTAAAAATACAATCAAGCCTGGCTGGCACAACTCAGTGATTGAGCATTGACCTATGAACTAGGAGGTCACAGTTCGATTCCCAGTCAGGGCACATGGCCTAGGTTGCTGGCTCTATCCTCAGTATGGGGCATGCAGGAGGCAGCCAATCAATGATTCTCTCTCTTCATTGATGTTTCTAACTCTCTCTCCCTCTTCTGTCCTCTCTGAAACCAATAAAAAATATATATATATTTTAAAAAATGCAATCAATTGTCTCTTGAATGCTAGACATGGAGGAAAGGCAGGGAAACCAATGAAATTTCTGTGCATATTCTCAAAAAGACTTTTAGGTACATGATTGATTTTAGGGTTTTCTGTTATTAGTTCAGAATACCTAGTTTCACCCCCAAATGCAGTTTAACTTTTCTCCTGAGGCAGTGGTATTAGCAGTGTCTTTTCATATTGACTGGCTATGACTTGGACCATCCTATTTTAGCTCCTCAGTGCCCAGAATGGGAAGTAGTCCTTGATAGATGTTTGCAGTGTAAATGAGTGTGCAAAGAGTTTCTCCCCCTGAGTCCATAAAATAAAAGTTAGAAAAGGAGAAGTGTTTAAAAGAGGCAATTGATGGAGATGTGAAGAGACTGAAGGAAGAGGCCAGGGGATAGAGAGGGGGTGAGGTGCTGTCAAGCAGAGTGGGTAGAAGGCTGAGGGACCTCCTAGAAGAGGCACGTGGTCTGGAGATGCTCACAGGTACCAAGTGCTCCCCAATCAGGTGTGTGTATAACTCAAGACATATTAACATGGTCAAAAGCACCACTCCTTATTGTAGAACAATTTATCCCACAGTTTTCTTTCTCTGTCTAAAGACTCCCTAATGTCTTAAACAATTTAAGTAGAACTAACTGTAACCCAGAAGGAATTATTGACTATTGTACTACCATTTGCCCTAAAGTCTGTAATTATATTGCACAATAGAAAGCTTTTTTTAAAGGACACATCAAAGGAGTTTACAATGCTGTATTAATAATAAATGTCATTTTAGTGCCTAAGGATCAAGAAAGCCCAACTGTTATAATTATGCCAAAAACAAAAAGGAAAATTAAGAGGTTCTTCCATTCCATCTGTAAAATACCCATTGGCACACTGACATGTTGACAAGGCCCAGAAAAACGAGCAGCACAGGAGAAAAACCAAATAATGAGCCTACTGTGAATGTCTTCCTGGCATACGGTGCTCCGGGAGTCAGGAGTTCCTCAGAAGTGACGGGCCTCTTTAACACTGTAAGACAGACACAAAATCAAGGTGCACCCTTCATTCATTCACTCAGCAGATACTTTACTGAATGCCTCATTTGTGACCATCAGGGAACAAAAGGGGGAAAGAAAAATCCCTGCCTCACAGTTATACTCTAGCCGAGTAAAAACAGAAAATATTAGCAAACAAATAAGCCCACACCTAACTTGCAGAGCTATGGAAAGAAGAGGAAATGGAGCAGGTGAAGAGAAGCAAGGAGTAGGCTAAGGAGTGGGCTAACATCCATCCCCACATGCAGTAACAAGTGTTATTTTCTTGTGATGAGAACTTTTAAGACCTACTCTCCTAGCAATTTTCAAATACACAATGCAATGTCATTGAATATAGTCACCATGCTCTACATTATATCCCCAGTACTTATTTATTTTATGACTAGAAGTTTGCACCTTTTGACCACCTTCTCCCATTTTGCCCAACCCATCCACCATCTCTGGCAACCACCAAACTGTTCCCTATGTCTATGAGTTTGTTTTTTAGATTCCACATATAAGTAAGATCATATAGTATTTGTCTTTCTCTGTCTGACTTATCCCACTTAGTATAATACCATCCATGTTATTGCAATAGTTTATGAGTGCTCCCTGATTTCCCAGTGAGAATCAGTGTAGAAGCAAGTTTCTTCACTCCCTTGCAAGTTACAACTTTATTCTTAGAGCTAACGCTCCCAAAGAAAGAGGGGAGGGAGGGGGAGGGAAAGGTTAGATTAAAAAAAAATAATACCCGCCCTGGCCAGTATGGCTCACTTGGTTGGGTGTCATCCCATGCACCGAAAGGTTACTAGTTTGATTCCAGGTTAGGGCACATGTCTGGGTTTCAGGCTTGATTTCTGGTAGGGAGCATGCAGGGGGCAGCCAATCAATGTTCCGCACCTACATTGCATCGATGTTTCTCCCTCTTTCCCTTCCTCTCTCTTTCAAAATCAATAAAGTATATTTTTATATACCCAATTGCCTACATAATAGCATTACATGACAGAGTTTTCTCTTAAAGCCCTTCGAACAACATCTATTTGTCCTTATTCTCACTAATGCATAATGATTTTTTTTTCTCTAAAGAGATGTATTCACTGAGGGTAGGGGTCATGACTTCTCATCTTTGTATCCCCAACATCTGGTGATAAGGAAACATGACCAAAGAAACAAAGTCTTTTCCCTGAACTAGGATGGACAAAGCACTAAACAAATGGAGTTGAGGGTATTTTTAAGGCAATGATTATCATGAAGGACCATGCAATCCTGAGAAGTAGGTGGGTAAGGGGCCATGAGAAGATGGTAGTATCAATGGGTTACAGGCTCCTGTGGGACTAAAGAACTAATTAGGCCAAGGAAGGATTGCTTCTAAGTCCAAGTTCATCAAAAGTCTTTTTTAAAACATTTTATTTATTTATTTGTTTATTTATAGAAAAATTGATTTGTTGTTCCACTTATTTATGCTTTCATTGGTTGATACTTGTATGTGCCCTGACCGAGGATCAAGCCTGCACTTCACTTATCGGGACAATGCTCTAACCAACTGAGCTACCCAGCTAGGGCTTATTAACAATCTTTATGCCTAGATTTTTTTCTGTAATGTAAAGGCCAATAGGTTGATGAATAGAGTTGGAAACCACCAGGCACCAAGAATCAATTACAGGTACAGTTGGGTTTGCATAGACCATGCTTCTTCCTTAGGGGTGCTAGGGACCCACAGCTCTTTGCATTGGTTGCAGTCTGGGGAATCCCTAGTTCCCCTGCTCTGTGGAAGACTGATGTGCTGCTCAAACCCTCCTTCAGGACTGAGTGAGGGGCTCCTCCCAGATGCCAGGACTGCTAATGGCAGACAGCCCTCAGATGCCAATGCTCTCAATAGTTTTTGCAACTATCTCTCTTGCTTAAGGTCACACCCTCTTCCCAGGGGCAGCCAACACTTAATGACTAATCAACATAAAGGTACAAAGGCCTGGCCATCTCGCCTGAAATTTGGACAATTGTGAAGGACTATCCCAAATCCAGAGCTCCCCTTGAGTTAGCTGCAGCCTCTACCGAGAGGGCTTGCAGCTCTGTTTTCCTCTGCCCAGTCCTACGTTCCTCCTTTCTAATCAACAGTTCTTGACCCTAAGGACACACGATAATAAGATCCCCACATACTAGTCTCCCTCAGTCTGAGAATCTGCTTCCCAGGGAACCCAGCCCTTAGGGAACCCAGTCCCCAGGGAACCCAGCCTGCATACCTGCCCAAGTCCCCCAGGTCATAGTCAGACCACTCACCAGATTTGGGGTTGCAGAGCACAGGGGGGCTGCTGCTGAGGGTGGGGCTGCTGCTAAAGTAGCCACTGCTGCCACAGCTGCTCATGCTGCTCCTCCTCACGGCAGACACAATCTTGATCTCCTTGCTGGGGCTGACTGCGGGTGGGAAAACACAAGGTCACTGAGGGTGGTGGTTTTGGTTCCCTAGAGGACGTGGGCTTTCAGCCACCAGGTACAGAGGCCAGTTACCTGTGCCGGGAAAAGCATTCTGGCTTCAGAGTGAGAAAAGCAAGGATTTGAGTAGCAACTCTGCCATTTACCAACTGCATAACTTGAGGCCATTTCCTTCAGTTCTCTGAGCCTCAACTTACCCAACTATAAAGTGAGAATAATACTATATCAAGGATTGGTGCATAAAGTGGATTATATGTGCAAGTCCTCAACTACATAAAATATTATTTGAAGAACCACTAAACGCATGCTGAGCAGTCCCTGGAAGGAAGTAAATTAAGTGTTGGTATACACTTAACCAATTAACAATACTGATAAATGCCTCCTGCTTTCATATGAAATCATGAATCACCCAGAGCCATGGAAGAGGAGATTAAAATACACAGCACATATTTAGGCTTTGAAAGTGTATGTGAGACAGAGGCTTCAATGATCTGATCTGGTTCTCTCTGCCACGAAGTTGGCTGGCTCTCAACAAGGGAGAGGAAATCCAGCTATATATGATGAGTGAAAGAGGCCATGGAGAGAACTCAGCTTAGTGCCTGGCACGTGAGAAACACAAACTAAAAGCTGTTTTATCATCATCATTACTTATTCTGTTGGGCCCCAAAAAAAAAAAGACAAAACTTAGCACTAGTTTTGTGAATAGTTATTCTGAACTTACAGATGACCACACTGTAGGGCGCCCATAAAATAGAGAAAAGAAAAATCTTCCCTCTTCAAGTTATTGTGAGAATTAAGTGAGCAATCAAGCTTGACTCACTGACAGGGGCACAGAAAATTCTCAATACAGTTGTACATGTCCTCATCATCACTCCCTACACACAGCCAAGACACCCATGGACATTTTGCCCTCAGGTTAAGCCCAGAGCATTCAGACCTTAGGCCAAACACAGTCAATGCCAAGTTTTCAGAGGATCTGATACCCGTTTAAGCTCCTCAGCCTCTTACACAGAATGACACATCAGGCTAACATCTTCTGGATGAATGCAATTATATTTGAAAACATCAGTCACCATCATTTCTGTCAGGCTTAACTGTCAATATGAGACTGTTTAATCTTACATGTAATATCCCAAGCTATTGTGCTTTATGAGCTGATTTCTGCTTTCCATAGTTTTTCTTTGTTCTGTGTCACCCTTTCATAATTGATTGATAACCAGTTGCCTTTTAGTTGCATATGCCCTCCGAAGTCTTTATTCGTTCTTAAAATATATAGCTTTTCAGTGCTGTAATTTAGAACACTGTACAACTAATGATAACAATTGTTTACAAATGAAAAGTAAATAAGGTGTGAGTAACAGCTTGAGAGGTCTTCTTTTTTTATTTATTAAATTTATTGGGGTGACATTGGTCAACATGAACATATAGGTTTCAGGTCTTCAGAGTTCTTCTATAACTCAAATGCATAATTTTATAAAACAGACTTCATGATAATCTAATTTGACTTCCCAGGAACAATTTGGTTGTTGTTGTTTTCTTTTTGCATACTTCTGGGTTATGAATAAATAAAAATTTGCTAGAGAACATAATTTCTCAAAAGACAAAAACATATGGTCGAATTAACAATGGAACTGACCTACCTGACATAAAACTGGTAGATTTCCGGTTGTCGTGGCTCTGCTTCCTCAGGCAGAAGGGACTGTCATGCATTTCCTGGGAAGGGGATTTTTCATTGAGCAGCTCCATGAGTCTTCGCCTCCGCCGGAAGTTCATTCTGAACTGGTAGAGAAGATTGCTGTCCACGAATGGGTGCTTGTTGGACACTGGGGAGAAGAAACAACAGATGAGGATTGTCTGACGTCCTGGCCACTGAGTACTATAGCCGGAAGACTCCAACCAAAAGTCTTAAAGACAGAATTGAGAGCTTCTGCTCAAGATGGTGGCATAGGTAAATGCGATACTCACATCCTCCCACAACCAATCAAAAATACAACTAGACTACAGAACAATCTAACTGAAACCACCTGAAGTCTAGCTGAACAGAAGTCCTACAACCAAAGATATGAATAAGCCACACAGAGACTGGTAGGAGGGATGGAGACACAAAACGGGCTGGTCCCACACCCACATGGGGTGGACAGAAACATAGCCCACATGGCAGGGGGCACACCTGGAGTGCCCAGCTCAGGTGAACAAGAAGGCTGTGCCACTGGACTCTGTAGGACACCTACTACATTAGGCCACTTTACCAAGCCCGCGAGCTGTAGCAGCTCTACCTAATACATATATAGGAAGGCTGCCAAAATAAGAAAACAAAGAAACTATGAATTTAGTACTAGTTTAAGTGCTTTATATGCATTAATTTTTAAAATTATAACAGCAGCCTAGGATAAAGATAAACCCAGAGAAGACCCCAGTTAATGGCAGAGGTAGAAATAGGACCACAGCATATGACTCCAAAGTTCAAGTTCCAAACCACTACTCTGCACTCCCTCTATGATAAGTAATTCCTGTGCTTGCTTAGGTTCTCATGGAGAATTGAAATAGCAACAGTCTTTACACTGTGAACTAAATAGACAAAAGCAACATAGCACATTGCCAATATAAGATCTACATTTATGTTAATACCAAAATAATTATTTGGATATTAAACACTGGGTACATGGTCTCAAAAAGTAGTCCCATTCCACATGCCTGAAGTTATGAAATGTGGAGTTAAGCCTGTTTTTCTGTGTGTGTGTTTTTCCAACTTCATGTTATCTATGCTGTAACAAAGTTCTTTTCTACTATTTAATAGCTAAAGGCAGTCAGAACTCCTGCATCTTTGAAATAAATGGAGAGGGTTCATTTGTTTATTTTGCTTGCATTTTCAGCAAGACAGGTCAAAACATGGTTTTATTTTTTTAGAGATTCTATATGCATTTTGTAATAGTTTTACTAAGATATACTTCACATACCATATAATTCACCCATTTAATATTACAGTTCCATGGCTTTTAGTATATTACCAGAGTTGTGCATCCCATCACCACATCAATTTTTACATCTTCAGCACCCCAAAAAAGAAACCCCACACTCCTTAGGAGTCACTTCCAATCTGCCCATATCCCCTAGTGCTAGGCAAACACACTAGCCTACCATCTGTCTCTATAGATTGGAGTATTCTGGGCATTTCATATAAAAAGAATCATACAATATAAGGTTCAGTGTGACTGGCTTCTTTCCCTTAGTATAATGTTTACAAAGTTCATCCACGTTCATCTATGTTGTAGCATGTGACAGTACTTCACTCCTTTTTATTGTCAAATAATAAATAATATTCCATTGTATGGAGACACCACATTTGTTTACCTGTGCATCAGTTGGTGAACATGTTTCCACTTAGTGGTTATGAATAATGCTGCTATTAACATTCATGTACACTTTTCTGTGTGGACATACATCATCATTTCCCTTGGGTTTATAGCTAGGAATGGAACAAGAAGATTATATGGTAACTCTATATTTAATGATTTGAGGAACTGCTGGACTCTTCTCCAATTCGAATACCCCATTTTACATTCTCATTTACAGCAGTGTAGGAGGTTCCAGTTTCTCCACATCCATATAAATGTCATTGTTCATCTTTTTTATTATACTTATCCTAATGGGTGTGAAGTGGTAGCTGACTGTGGTTTTGATTTGCATTTCTCTGATGGTTAATGATGTTGAGCATGTTTTTATGTGCTTACTGTCAATTTATATATATTCTTTAAGAATTGTATATCCAAATTTTTTGTTCATTTTTTTAAATTGAGTTGTCTTTTTAATAATAGATTTTATTTTTTTAATTGCATTTTCAATTACAGTTTACATTCAATATTATTTTGTATTAGCTTCAGGAGTACACCATGGTGTTTAGACAGTCATATAATTTACAAAGTGTTCCTTCTGATATTTCCAGTACCCACCTGGCACTGTACATAGTTATTACAATATTATGGACTGTATGCTCTATGCTGTACTCTACATCCCTGTGACTATTCTGTAACTACCAATTTGTACTTCTTAATCCCTTCACCCTTTTCACTTAGTCCCTCAAATCCCTTCCTATCTGGCAACAATCAGTTTGTTTTCTGCATCCACGAGCCTGTTTCTATTTCATATATTCATTTATTTTGTTCTTTAGAGTCTACATATAAGCAAAATCGTATGGTATTTACTTTTCTCTGCTGACTTATTTCCTTAGCATAATAACCTCTAGGTCCATCACACGGTCACAAATGGTAAGATTTAATAGATTATTTTTTTTTAAAGAAGTTTTACGTTCACAGCAAAATTGGGCAGAAAGTACAGAGTTCTCATATACTCTCTGCCCCTCTAATACAGCCTCCCCAATCAAGTATCAAAAATAATTGCAGTTAGTTACAACTGATGAGCCCACATTGACACACTGTCATTTAAAGTCCGTAGTTGACATTAGGGCTCACGTTTGGTGTTGTACATTCTATTAATTTCAATAAGTGTAGAATGATATATATCTATCATTATAGTATCAGACAGAATAGTTTCACTGTCCAAAAAAATCTTCCATGCTCTGCCTATTCATCCCCTCCACCCTCCCTAACCTTGGCAACCACCGATCTTTTTATTGTCTCCATAGTTTTATCTTTTCCAGAATCTCATGCAGTTGACATATAGTTATAGAGGCCTTTTTGGATTTGCTTCTTTCACATAGTAATACGCATTTAAGGTTCCTCCATGTCTTTCCATGGCTTGATAGCTCATTTATTTTTAGCATTGAATAATATACCATTGTACAGATGTATCAGTATTTATTTAACCATTCACCCTCTGAAGGATACTTGGTTGCTTCCAAGTTTGGGTAAGTATAAATAAAGCTGCTATAAACATCCATGTGCAGACTTTTGTGTGAACATAAGTTTAAGTTTTCAAATCCTCTGGGTAAATATCAAGAAGCATGACTGCTGGATCATATGGTTAGAGTCTGTTTAGTTTTATCAGAAACTGCCAAACCATCTTCCAAAGTGGCTGTAAGGCTTTCAATTCCCCCAGCAGTGAATGAGAGCCCCTGCTGCTCCAATCCTCTCCAGCACTTGGCATCATCTGTGTTCTGGATTTGGGCCATTCTAATAGGTGTATAGTGATCAAATCTTTTTGATTTGCTTCACATATGATGTTGAGCATCTTTTCATATATTTGTTTTCCATCTGTATATTTTCTTTGGTGACATGTCTGTTCAAGTCTTTGGCCTATTTTTTTTAAATCAGGTTGTTCATTTTCTAATTGTTGAGTTTTGAGTTCTTTGTATATTTTTAATAACAGTCCTCTTTCAAATATGTCTTTTGCAAATATGTCTTTTTTCTCCCATTCTGTGGCTTGGCTCCTCATTCTCTTCATGGGTTGTCTTTTTATTATTAAGTTGTAATAGTTCTTCATGTATTCTAGATACGAGCCCTTTATTGGGTATATTGTTTCAAAATATTTTCTCCCATTCTGTGAGTTGTCTTTTCACTTTCTTGATGGTACCCTCTGAAGCACAAAGCTTTTTAATTCTGATGATGTTTATTTTTATCTTTTTAAATTTATTTTTTCTTTTGCCACTTGTGCTTTTGGTGTCGTGTCTAAGAAACCATTTTATATGCATTTTAAAATAACAATTTTTAAAACAGTTCTTTATATAAACATGAAGAAAAGTGCACTTTGTATGAACTGGCAAAATGGCAACACTTCGTAAATATAGATACATGCCTGAATGTCTTATGCATATTATTTATTTAGAGCTTAAATGTGGAAGATAAATGAAAATTGGGATGAAGGAATTTATTAGCACCTTTAAATCCAGTTCCAGTTTGTAAAATAGTTTAGTTTTTTAATAAAAAAAAAAGTTTTACATGTTCATTTTTTAAAACTAAAAAATATAGAAAAGCTTCCGTTTTGAACAAAACAGAATTATCTAACTTTCTATCTACCTACCTAATTATGTTGAGCAAAAAAAAAACAGGGCTGGCAAATACCAAACTTGATGGAGAGAAACATTCTCCACCCTTTTCCAGTATTTAAATATTGATGCATTCTTATCCATTTATAGTCAGAATACCTAGAGGCCAATCATGTAAAAAACAAAAAAACATCATTACTCAAAGAGCTAGGAATACTAAGAAAAGTTACATAACAAATTCTTGCTCTAGTTAAGCTTAAAGTCTAGCAGAAAATAAAACATGCTCATGTGTAACTACTAGTATAGTACAAGATAGAAATTTCAAGTGTCCTAAGGAAATTATACATAAAGTGCTATGGAAATTCACCTATGGGTGAAACAAGATTCATTAAAAATTGTCACTAACTGAAAAATAAATGCACACATATAAGAAGCTTGTTTGGGAGCATTGAAGAAAAACCCAAATCAACAATCAACTCCAAAGAATGAAAAGCTAAAAGTTCAGCAACTTAACAAAGAACCTTAAAAGATTCCTTCTGGTAGAAAAGATGGCTCAGCCTCCTATGTCTTACACAGTGAAAGTTTTGAATAATTTTTTTAAAGATGTACTGTGATCCTCCATTACTGAGTCTTTAGATTGCTTTCAGTATTTTTTTTTTTTGCATCATAAAGATCATTTCATTTTTTAAATATTCCATTAAATATCATATAATTCCTTTTTTTAAAAAAAAAAAAAAAAAAGGTAAAGACAGTGAGACAATACGCCCAACTGGTTAGTGGAAGAGACACTGTTAGCACTCGGCTCTCAACACCAAATCAAATGCTCTTTCCATTACCCTGCGACACAACCCAGGTGGTCACATGTAGTTTCCTCTTGGTTTC